CTCTACATCCCTACCCAGGCCTCAAGGTAGATTGCTAGGAGGTAGATATGCAGAGGCAGAGCCTAGCAGGGATTCAGCCTGGGTTGGAGTGGGATTACTAGGGTTTCTCTAATGTGGAGAAGGGGATAGAATTTGAATTTTGGGGTATGACAAGTGGGGAAGCCTTCCAGCAAAGAGCTCGGACAGCCTCAGAGGCTTGCCCCTGGGCTAGGTCAGAAATAAGGGGCCCTGGTGAGACACCATAATTTTTACCCATATCTAAGAGACAGCATGCATTTTACCACTGAGGCCCTTTACATTAAAAATGCAGTGCTTTATGTGTGGGAGGCATCAGGGTATGTATTACTGGGTTCTAGGGTGTGGTATTCACTGGCCGAAAGGTAAAACCGTGGTCAGTATAATTTTGTTATTTCCATCAGCCCCTTCAAGCCAATGGTTGGGAGTAGACTACAAGTTTTTAGGACATTGATGCCCTTGTATTAAACTGTGCTTCAATCCCTCTCCTCTAGTCTAAGTCTTTAGTAAAACTGACTAAACCCAAAAGGCTCGTGTCAGCTTTCGTTAATGGAGATCAGAGTCCTGTTCAATAGGGGGTAGGGGTTGGGAGGTAGCAGTCACAGGAGGCAAGATTCGGAACAGAGATTAAGATTTCAACAGATGAAGGAGATTGGAGACAACAATGACCTTGAGAAAGGTCACAGTGCCATGATTGAAGGGACAGACTGGGGAAAGTATGCCATCTATGGCACACAGGCTAAGGGCTCAGCCACTCTATTCAATATGAAAACACAGGAATACTCTAAAAGACTACAGAACTGGGTGACATCCAAGGAGCAGATACTTGGCTTACATTATTTTCTTGGTGTTATTCTTGCTGCAATTTTTTTTTTAATAGGAAGTAGCTAGGAAGGATGGGGGAAAAGGGATATATAGAGTGATTTGTTTAAGTACCCAAAATTACAGCTAGATAGGAGGAATAAGTTCTAGCATTCTATGCATCATATCATATCATATGATCATACATATCACATATCCTATGTTTCAAATAGCTAGAAGGATATTGAATGTTCCCAACACAAAGAAATAAGTGAGAGTTAATTACCCTGATCTGATCACTTTACATCACATGTGTGAAAACATCACTGTGTACTCCTAAAATCTGTAAAATTATTACTTGTCACTTTAAAAAAAATTAAAAATAAGCCGCTGGGCACAGTGGCTGAAGCCTGTAATCCAGCACTTTGGGAGGCCGAGGCGAGAGGATTACCTGAGCCCAGGGGTTTGAGATCAGCCTGGGCAACTTGGCAAAAGCTTGTCTCTACAATAATTTTTTTAAAAATATTAGCCAGGTGGCTAATATAAAATTAGTAGTGGCTCACGCCTGTAGTTCCAGCTACTTGGAAGGCTGAGGTGCAAGGATTGCCTGAGCCCAGCAGGTAGAGGCTGCAGTGGCTGTACTCTAGTCTGGGTGACAGAGTGAGACTCTGACTCAAAAATATAAAATAAAAATAGTAAAATTAAAATAAAATAAAAAGTAAGTAAAGGATTAGATTGATTTGAATTAGAATGAAACATAAAAGTGAATACAATTCATGTGGAAAATGTTGGCTTAAAAAAGCAAGCAACTGGATATCTGCTGATGTTGGTGAGTTTGCCAGGAACTATCTATGGGGGCACTTCTGAGGGTGTCATCAACTATTCACCTGCCCAAAATCAAGGGGCCAGTTTCCTGGCCCAGAAACTCTGCTCCAAGAAACTTATTCAAGAGAAATGATCCAGGAGAAGATGCATCTTTCATGTAAAATGATGTTACTCATAATAATAACTGGGAAAAAATATCTTAATGCCCAACATAAGGAAATGGTTAAGTAATTGTGTGTATCCAACCTTTGAAGTATTATGCAATAAAACCTTTACACATGAAGACCATATAGCAACTTTTAAAATGTTTGACTTCAAAGTAAAAAAAAAAAACTATTGTTTTAATTATGTAACAATATTGCATTACATATGCCTAAGGATAAGAAAAGACCACAAAAGTAGATGAAATAGGAAAATGAAATTCTAGATCATTTTTAATTTTTCCCTTTGGTATATTATTGTTTATACAGTAAATAAAACTCAAGAGAAAAAAAGAAATAGTATTAAAATAGCTGTAAGACTATTCTTCTACTCTAACTTTTTTTTTCAAAACAGTAGAAGTTTAGCAATCTATAAAACTAAGTATTAAGATAAGCAGATGGGTACTATGCATTCATGATACTAATTTTCAAAAACTTTCTTGTTTGAATTTGTAATAAGATTTTTTTGCCAGGCATGGTGGCTCAAGTCTATAATCCCAGCACTTCGGGAGGCCAAGGTGAGAGGATTGCCTGAGCCTGAGGGCTCAAGACCACGCTGGGCAACTTGATGAGACCAAGGTTCTCTACAATAAATCAAAAGTTAGCCAGGTATGGTGGCGCATGCCTGTAGTTTTAGTTACTTGGAAGGCAGAGGCGGAAGGATCACCCGAACCAGATACTAGAGACTGCGGTAGCCATGAGCATGCCACCGCACTCCAGCCTAGGTGACAGAGTGAGACTTCGACTCAAAAGAAAAAAAGATTTTTTTAAAGAAACTAAAATCAGAAAATATAATAAAATGAAGTTTTTAAAATGTAAATGTAAAAACTGACAAGCTTCCTTCATCTTACAAATATTTTCTGGTTTTTATTCACTAAATAAACAATCATTTGATGACATTTATTCACTCAGTCAGTTTGGTTATTCCATAGCTGATACTAACACCATTTCCATAGTGCAAAAACAAAGAATTTACAGATTATCATTGGAGGATGGGAGGAAGTTGTGAAAAATAGGTCAGGTTAAAGACATTCACCCAGAGGGGCCTGGCCTCATATTTCCACTGCAATAGCATTAAGATATGTAAACATGTTCACATTTTATCTCCCTGGAGTTATCTTCTAACCCAATTGTGCAAGCCAGAAGTCTAGAGTTCCCCTCAAGCCTCCTGTCCTCACAACCTATAATCTATGTCCCAGAGATGACGGAAGTCACCCAGTTCTATCACCTCCGGCACTATAGCCAAAGAAGAAAACAGCTCCCACTCCTATACCAGGCACTTTTGCAAGCATGTCATAGGCACTAACTCATTTTATCCTTACAGTCTCATTTTACAGGGAAGAAAACCAAATTAATGGTTTGCCTGAATAAGTAAACTAGGAAGTGGCAGAGCTGGGATCGAACCCAGTTGAATGGCTTCACACCAAACCACTTGTGTTGTTTCTACTCCTTTGCTATTATAAGCCGTGCTGTGATGGATAACCTTGCACAAATACCACTCCCCATGTATGCAGGGACATCTGTAGGATTTATCCCCAGAAGTGGGTTCATTAAATACTTAATTGCATATTTTCTTTCTCCTTGCAGACACATCTGTCTTGTTCGGCCACTATCCGGCACATAGCAAAGGTACAATAAGTACTTAATTCCTTCCTTCCTTTACTCACTCTACAGATATTGATGGGACGCCTGTTGCTTGCCAAGCACTGTCCGGGTGTCGGAGAATACATTGGTGAACAAACCAGGAAATGAGGCCCAGCTCTCGTGAATCTTACATACTAACATAGGATCCAGAGGCAATTAACAAATAAGTTACTCTGTTCTATGTCAAAAGATGATAAACTGAAGAAAAACAGGTAGCACTGAAGGATGGGGGTGCAAGAGCTGTCATTTTAAATAAGTGGTTATCGAATAAATAAGTGAACAACACTTTCTGATGGTGTTTACCTTAGCAGCAATAATAATTGTAACACTTTTAAACTTCTAATAATAAAGAGTAGATAGTCCGGATACTACCCTCACAGAACTGTTGTGAGATTTAAATGAGCTTTATACACAAAGCAGAAAGAACAGTGGCTGGGGAAGCAAGTTTTACCTGTTACATTCCTTCAAAATAGGCTTCATTCCCCAAAACAAACTTGCATGTAAGTGAAAAATGCTGTTCAAAAAAAAAAAAAAAAACCAACACAGACATCAGTGGACTTATGACCAATGAAGAGGATAAGTCTCACTCATTCATTCCTGACCCTGAAAGCATTTTGATCCTAAAGATCACATGAAAAGAAAACATCTCCTTCAACATTTACTTTGAGATGAGACCAAAAAATATTCTGACTATGAGGATTTAGCTAAATCTAAATCAACATCGATTACTGAATTTCTTCAAACAGAAGCATTTGTCAGCAGAAAAGCCTCATATGCTAAGTTTGGCCCTTAAAATCAGAAATAGTGTAGACTTATTACTGCTATGTCTAATGAAAATGACATTCATAGATGTTAATGTTTACCCAGTAATATCAGGAATAAAGGATAGTGAATCATAATAATAAACAATTGATTTCTATTTCATTTAAACATACACTTACAGGATATTTACTTAAATATTTGCACAAGTTTGGTATGAGCAATTCCAATCTGCTTGGGACAGTCTGGCTGGCGTAATTTGAATATGGTTATAAAATCGGGAATTAACACTAAAGAAGCACATTAAAGAATAACACTGAGTAGATGTGCCATGCCCTGCCCTGGTTATGCACACCTGTGCAGTCTCATGCTTTGGAGTCGGCACCTATAATATTCTGCTTATGCATTAACTGTAGCTGATGCTTTGTCCCTTAAACCAGAGGATTTGCAGTTCAGTTTTTACAACAAATGTTGAAAATGCAAATTATATTTAAAACTCCACCCCCCCCCCTTGCTCTAAATTAACCCTTTTCTGAGTAAGAGTCTACAGCATGTGATCTCATGCTGGTCATTAGAGTTTAGCTACTCTGGCCCTTAGGCAGGTTCTAATTTAAAATCATCCAACCTCCCCCAGTTCCCTGTAGTGCAGATGTTTGTACCAGACAGGAGGCAGGGGAAGGCAGGCAGGCAGGAACAGACCCTGACCTCTCTCTAGTTCTCAATGGAACCCTGAGGAAAGCCAAGGCCAGCACTCACCGGATGCCTGAGTCTGCAGAGCCAATTCTTCCAGAGCAGGGCTTGGAACTGACGCCCCGCGTGCCCCATGCCTGGCGCTCCTGCTCTCAATCAGGAAGTCAGTCCGTGAGGATGGTGCTTATATCTGCGGGGCTCAAGCAAAGGCATGTTGCCCACTAGTCAATTCTAACAAAAGTGAATGATGCAAGAGAGATTACTGGTGACTGAATGAAGCAGGCATCAAATGTCCCCTCTTGTTCTGCATCTGCTGAGAAATCTTGTCTTTTCTCTAGCTGTTCAGTGTTCAGGGAGGATCGAGTTACGCTGCCTTCAGGCCCTTCCCCAGAAAACACATGGCGCGCCCCCACCCTTGCCAAGAACACACACAGCCGATGCACTCAGTAAGAAGCAATGCCCACACTTACCAACTACCTTCCTATTTCCTGGGTACTAATTGGATGAAATCCTAATTGGGTGGGATTAATTTCATCCAATCAGTACCCCAAACATTCCCACATTGGGGCCAACATCAAAGAATTGGAAGGGGAGGAAAGGAAAGCAGCATTGATCTCTAGGGGCTGGGGGATGCAAGTTCAAGATCCACGCTGCTGCTGCACCTGTCCTTATGCTCCTCCTTCATCCACTTCCTCCAAAGGGGTCAGTGAAGGGCGCAGGGAACAGTCAGAAGGGCGTCCCCAGGATGGCGCTACCACCCAAAACAACAAAGGCCCTAAGCTCCGGCTTCTCTCCGTACGGTTTCGCACTCGCGTGAAGTTTAAACCTGCGCACGAATAATTTCTCCCTATAGAAACACTACCTCATAGTCTCCTCCAATAAAGCCAAAGCATGACACTGGAGCCTGGGTGATTCTTGTACACATGGATTTTTTAACTGGCATGATAGATTCAGCTGACTGGTTGTCTGTGCTAGCTTCCTGGAAGCCAAGCCTTTCTGAATTCCTGTTGCCCCCAGTTGTGGTCACCAGGATGTCAAGCAACCCAGTCTTTTGGTCTTCCATCTCATGAAGAAATTTCCAAAAACTGTGAATGCTCTACTAAAGGCATTTGCAACAGGAAGCAGAGAACACAGGCTTCAGCAAATAAATTCACTCCATTATATTACAAACTTGTTTTTTCAAGTACACCACTTTTATTTTATTATGTGTTACGTAATTGGCAGCTCTAGAGTGAAAGCCTTGATTTGGCAGGCTGGGGCCCAGCTCCCATACCGAGTTTTGCCTGATCTCCGAATGACATCCTCTCTTGGCCCATGCCTCCTCTACGTATTGCTACACTGGTTCTCTTTGCAGATAACACTTAGAATATCTTACATTAGAGGTGATCGTCATGATCTTTGAAGAATACAGTATAGAAAATCCCCTAGTCACGGGACTTTTTCCATGTTATTTTTGTAGCATTAGCTTTTATGCTCAAGACTCAGGAAGAACAGTTGCTTCCATTCAAGTCTGAAGGCAAGGTTAAAAAAAATCCCTACTTGGAAGGCTGAGGTGGAAGGATCGCCAGAGCCCAGCAGGTCGAGGCTGCGGTGGCCGGGAGCGGCCACTGCACTCCAGTCTGGGCGACAGAGTGAGACTCCAACTCAAAAAAAAAAAAAAAAAAAATCCAATGCCCCAGTTTGAAAGCCATCAAACAGGAAAAATTCTCTTACTCAGGAAAGGGACAACCTTTCCGTCTATTCAGACCTTAACTGACTGGATGAGGCCCACCCACACTAGGGAGCTCCATCTGCTATACTTAGTCTACCTATCTAAATGTTAATCTCATTCAAAAACACTCTTACAGAAACTCCCAGAATGCCATATTTTGGTCTGTGTTTCAATCAACCAACCAGAGGCCAGCCTAACTCCTTGAGCTATAACATTAAATGCAGAATCTCAGCTTAGTGAACCCGTATCAGTAAATTTGGCCTGGTTATCATTATCCCACACCCTTATAACCATTCCTACACATGTTCTTTAGATTTCTGCTTCTGTAAATTGGAAAACTCAAATTGCTCATTTGACATGTAGCACACCTCTTCATGGGCCACACTCTTACTTTGTCTTTAGCTGTTTTGGGACTAAAGTCTAGTTGTAGGTCTAGAATAAGAAAGGAGCAATGGGCAGTGAGTCCCAGTAGAAGCAGCATGCTTGTGTGGCAGCTGCTTCAGAGCTGGCCATGACTGTTTTCTCAGACAATGCAGAATTAATCCCCTCAAAAGTGGTGTTCTACTGGGATAGGAAGGCTGCCTCTGGGGGGGGGTGGGAACCAGACACACCAGAACTCAGAGACTCAGAGTCCCCTGCTTCAGTAGGGTCTTCCCACATATTCCCATTCCCATGTTCAGGATCCCATTCCCTCTAATCAATGCCCTCTCTTTAATGATAGACACCACCTGCAAGGCTGGGAGTTCAACTTGAGTTGTAATTCAACCAGGGTAATGTTCTGGGTTTGATTCTCAGCAATCTCACCACTGCACTAAAAAGATACGAGTCTCTCTCAGGGCACATAGATGCTTCTATGACATTTATGCAGCACTTTGGTGTGGGAGTGGGCAATGAGGGGAATTTATCCTCATCCAAAACACCCTGAGCTCATCCTTTTCTGTCTTTCCATGTTTCTCAGTGACATTAAGAGCAACTAGCCAATCTCATTCTACTCATTAGCTTGACAAAGATGCTTCAAAGTATCAAATACACAGTCACCAAACCCTTGCTTCTTCTAACTGCTTGATTAGGAGCATCTAATGATGGATATTTTGTGCATCTCTATTGCCAGATTATGCCAAGGACTATCAGTGTTCTCTTTAGTACTGGAAATAGAGTTATTAGAGTCTTTACATTTAATCAGATTAGAGAGTCAATTCCAGAAACCCCAGAGCCTATATATAAAATGTATCCTTAAGATTCTGTTCCTCTGGAATCATTCTTAGTACCAAAATCTGTATTAGAAAGGGTTCTCCAGTGAAATAGAATCATATATAGGTAGGTGTGTGTGTGTGTGTGTGTGTGTGTGTGTGTGTGAGAGAGAGAGAGAGAGAGAGAGAGAGAGAGAGATTTACTATAAGGAATTGGCTCAAGCAGTTATGAAGCTGGGAAAGTCCCAAGATCTGCAGAGTGAGTCAGCAAGTTGGAACCACAGGAGAAACAAGGGTGTAGCACCCGTCAGAGTCTGAAGGCCTAAGAACCAAGAGAGCAAACAGTGGAGTTTCCATCTCAAAGCTAGCAGGTTCAGGACCCATGAAAAGTCAATGATTCAGTTCAAGTCTGAAAGTAGATTTTAAAAATTAGGTGTCAGTTCAAAGGCCATCAGGTAAGAAGAATTCCTTGACTCAGGAGAGGGTCAGCCTTTTTGTTCTAGTAAGACTTCCAACTGATTGGGCAATGCCCACTCACATTTGGGAAGGCAGTCTTCTGCATTCAAAAATCTACCAGCTCATCCAAAACACCCTCACAGACACACCCAGAATAATGTTTGACCAAATATCTGAGCTTCCTGTAATCCAGTCAAGATGACACCTAAAATTAGTCATCAGAAATTCCATGAGTTCAGAAGTTGCGTTATAACAGTTAGAATGGGATTACCCATCGCAGTTTTCCGAAACTCAAAAAAGTAAATTTTGATTAAACATAAAATTGCCATACAACCATGCAATTCCATTGCTAGATATATACTCAAAAGAATCAAAAAAGGAACTCAAGTAAGTACATGTATGTACATAAATGTTCACAGCAACGCTATTGACAATAGCTAAAAGATGGAAACAACCCAAGTGTCTTATCCACAAATGAATAAACAACATGTGACCTATCCATACAATGGAATATTATTCAGCCTTGAAAAGGAATGAAGTAGTGATACACGTTACAACATGAATGAATCCAGAAACATTACAGTAAGTGAAAGAAGCCAGACTCAAAAGGTCACACATTGCATATTTTCATTTATATGAAATGCCCAGAATAATTAAATTCATGGACAGAAAGTAGAATGATGTTTGTCAGAGGCTAAAAGAAAGGGAGATGGGGAAAATCTTTTTAATGGGTATAAGCTCTTCCTTTGGAATGATGGAAATGTTCTTGAAACTAAACAGAAGTGGTGGTTGCACCGCATTGTGAATATGCCAGTTGCCACTGACTTGTTGGCGGTATGTGATGTGAATTTCACCGCAATATTTTTGAGGTGAATTTTGCCACATGTTTCTTCTCAGTTGTTTAGCCAAACTCAAAAGAGCCTGAGTGTGTGGCACTGCCATGTGGCTCTGCATTTTGGAACCTGACAATTCTGACCATATTTGTTCTTTATGCTGTCTTAGTCACTTTGTCGATGGACACATCATCGCTCTCATAAAAATGAGACAGTAGGTGCTAAAATCCAAATTAGGAAACTCGGGACAAAAGTCCTTTCCCCAATGGCTCACACACTTTTCTCATGTTATCACTGATAACTGAAAAACGTTCCATTTCTAAAGTCTTGCTCCGGGGTCCTTACTGCAGTATCCCGCTTACTGTCAAGATTCGGCCATTACCCCATGCAGGGAGGCTATGAATTGGCAGCCCAGCTCCTGTTCTAACCCACTCTCTCCCTTCCCATAGGATTCCACAGAACCCTGAAAAAGCCATAAGTTATAAATAACAGCAATTTAAAAATAAGCCTGGTTGGGGGATGAAAGGTGCAGAGTAAGTTTTAATACTGCAAGTATCGGGGCCAAGGGAAAACGTTCCTCTGCCCTTGGAAGCTTCATGGAAAATCAACTGGCAAAAGACAGATTCATAGGAGAAATGACATACAAATATATTAATGTGCAAGAGAGAGAACCACAGAGTGATTACCTTAACCCATAGAAGCTCACATGCCATCTTGAGGTGGCAAAAAAAAAAAAAAATGGGACTTAGAGCATCACCAAAAACAAAGTATGGGGCTCCATCAGGTGATGGTGGTAAGACAGGTTATGGGGAGGAAAGAAGAGGAGGCCTGGCTGGCAAAGCTGGTCATGAAAAGTAGGTGAAATCTCACAGGCAGCAGCCCTCACAATAGATGGTGATGAATGTTTATTTCAGACCTTTAATCTCTCCTAGATCCAGTCAAGGAAGACCTCAGAGAAAACCTA